GCCTGAACCTCTGCAGCCCCAGTGATGCCCTCCCTTGCTCCTGCTGCTCTTCGTGCTCCTGCTGCGTGTTAAAAAAGGGCTCCCAACCCACTCCTCAGCTCTGTCTCTCTCACATCAACTCCGTTATTCTATTAGTCTCCAGCAGCTCTTGAAACTCCCTCATACACATTTTTTCCCCCATGTCCATGAAATGCAAGGCTGAGAACAGGAGCGGCACTGTGCTGGATACAGCCTTGAGCCAGACATGCAGTTGCACGGCCGTTAACAGCAACGATTACTGAATAGCTCATCCACGTGCTGCTGCTACATCCAGCTTGTGTTGCGCTCCTATTTTTCCACAACTGTGTGACCTTCTTGGCTCCCAGTCAGGCTCTGATCCCCTGTAATCCCCATGACACTTTTGTGTTCACACGTGAGCAGAACTGCAGTCTAGCCAGCGAAATCCACCAAGCACGGAAACCTGAACATAGCAGCCCCTGTCAAACCCTCCCCACTGCGTGGCGCTCGGTGCAAACCCTCAGGCACAGGCTCAAATAAAATGCAAGTGCCTGTGACTGCCTCGTTGCAGAACCAAGCGTGAAGCTGAGCGCGTGCACAGGCTGAGCCTGTCAAACCCTCCCCACCGCGTGGCGCTCGGTGCAAACCCTCAGGCACAAGCTCAAATAAAATGCAGGTGCCTGTGATCGCCTCGCTGCAGAACCAAGCGTGAAGCAGAGCGGGGCAGCAGGAGAAGGGGCAGCTCAGGGGCACATCCAGGTAGGTTGTATTTGGAAGCTGCTTCTTCCTGAGCCGCTGGAACTTGTTTGCGAACAGCTGGGGGAAAAAACAACAACGAAGCTCAAATCTGTCTTGAAAACAAGGTGGGGGTGGGGCAGCAAATCACAGAACAAGAATTTTAAGTCACAGCCTGGTATGGGCAGGCACCCAGCCTGGTATGTGATGCGCCCAGCAAACACTTAATGTGCTAACTTGCGTGTGGAAACATATAGCCTTGATCCAGTATATTCTGGAGTAGCCCCATTCCAAACCCTGTGCACGACAACAGCAGCCTGATGTCTTTGAGTCAGTAATTTATGTTACAAAATAAAGATTTAATCAATCAAATGGAGAAATCAATAACGGGTTGAGTAATACTGTTATCTCCATATGGGATTTAACAGTTCTGGTTTCAGTTTTTCCGTACACTTTTTTTTTCCTCTCCCCTTCCTCTTCATAAATGTACAAGCACAGCTTCCAGCAAGGACTGCAAGTTTTCAGAACACGGAAGAGAGGCTTTTGGAGATTTTAACTGACAGTTCAGAAAGACTCAGAAGTTTGAGGGCCAAGGGAAAAGCAATGGAGAAGAGTGATTCTCCTAAATCATTTGGCAACAAAATAACAACAACTGAAGTGCTGCTGAAGTCAGTCTTAACATGCCTTCAGGATTACAGCTAGGGTAATTCAGCACTGTCTCAATGAATACTTCAGGCCTTTAGGCTCAAGAAGGCAACCAAACTTCCAAGCTTACACTCCACATTTTAGCAGATTTTACAGTTGTGGGAAATATATATATATATATATATATATATAAAATGTAAAGCTTGTTGAAAATGGCCATTCTAATTCTACAGCAGACTCCTGGAACAGGTGTAAATGCAAGCCATAGCCTTCCTGTCACTGGGAAAGGCACGATGTCTGCGGGAGAAGGGAAAGCTGCTGTGTAACACAGACCTTTTGCTGTCCTAATATTGAACTGACCTGAGCACATTGTCTTATCTTCATTACTACTCATTCCCTAGACTTGCCCCTGTATTTTTTTAAATCCAGTGCATAAGGCTCACTAAAGCTAACAACGCAGTCTCCTAGTTTCCTTAGGGAACTCACTCCCAGTTTTGCCACTGGCTGGAAGCATCCATGCCAAAACGCATGTAGTGAGGCGCCGCTCCTCGCTGCACCAGCCCTGAGGTGAAGGGCAGCCTCTCCCATTTCCATCACCGAGGGCCACACACATACAGCAAGGGCACTGGGGGATTTCATACTCCTCTGGGCTATTGGAATT